CAGCACCGTTTCTAACAAAACCAAGAGATGACAATACACTGTGGATTCTTTCATTCCACACTAACGGGGCTTGTTTTAATCCATACAAGCTTTTCTTCAACCTCAAGACGCTGGTTTCTTTTCCCTTAACCACATACCCTTCTGGCTGAGTCATGTATAATTCTTCTTGAAGGAAACCATTGAGGAACGCAGTTTTAACATCCATCTGATGAACTGCCATTCCATTCTTGGCAGCGATACTCAACATCAACCTGATAGATTCATAACGCACCACAGGTGAGAATGTCTCATTGTAGTCAATACCCTTCACCTGTGTGAATCCTCGAGCAACAAGTCTTCCCTTGAAGACTCCGTTATCTTTCTTTGCAAAGACCCAACGACATGTAATTGGCTTTCTTCCTTTCGGCAACTCGACCAATTCATAAGTGGAATTCTCCTTGTGAGCAGCTATTTCTTCGTCACAAGCGCGCTTCCATTCCACTCTTTCATCGCTCTTCATAGCTTCCTTGTAGTTTCCAGGAACATCAGTTCCTCCAGATATAGCGTCAGCTTCACCAGCCATGAAGCATGTAGCAACGTAATTCACAGGTTTGTATTCTAACAACTTGCTTTTGGTATCATCATTCAGTTCTGATTCCTCATCACAATCACTAGGCTCTTCAATGTGAGGCTCAATTTCCGAAACCACCAAATCATCATTACTACCATTTGGAACAAACGAGGCCAACTCTTCTGATTTCCTTGAGTTTCTGAATTTCTTTCTTTGTGGTTTCTCAGTAACACTTTCCCTCTCTGAATCTGAGCTGAATGTGTCAGGCTGTTCTTCTATTTCAGCCAAAATACCAAATGGGTTTCTCTTAATTATACCCCTGCTTTCCTTGACTCTAGAACCTGATGATCTTTTTCTTTTCGTAGCAGTAACCAACTGAAAAGCATCATCATAAACTTTTGAGGGAATCAATTCTCCGTCCCCATACTCCTTGGTTTCCACAATGGACATTTCAATGTCTTTATCAGGTGCATCACTTTCAGATACCATGCTTGCATCATCAACTGAGATTTGGGACGTAGTTTCATCATCATGGTATGCAGAGCCATTTCTACTACCAACATCAACATCAACCAAATCATCATTCATAATAATTGGAGCAGCAGATATTCCACCAATGATACCTCCCCCTCCTCCGCCAGAAATTCCAATCCTTTCTTCTGGTGCAGCAGTGGAGGACTTCTTTCCATCTTGAAAATAATATCTTGACTCATCGAAGTTCACTTGGGCAGCCGTAACAACTCTATTTGCTTCGGGATCAAACATCCTATAAGCACACCGATTTCTATCATACCCAAGCATAACACACATTTTCGAAGTAGCACCAAGTTTCCCATATCTCAATTTATGGGGAACAACAACATATCCAATACAACCAAAACAACGAAGATGATCAAGTCCTGGATTATAACCAAACCAACGACGATACGGAGTCTGAAAACCAATCACTCGGGATGGTGTTCTGTTGGTCAAATAAGCAGCAGTACGAACTGCCTCTGGCCAAAATTGCGCAGGCATGGATGCCCCAATCATCAAAGATCTTGTTTTATCTTGAATGGTCCGATTCATTCTTTCAGCAACACCATTCTGATAACTATGGTGTGGCACCGTCAACTCATGAGCAATTCCTTTTCGTCGCAAGAACGCGTGCAATTGGCCTGTAATGAATTCTCCACCATTATCAGTTCTTATGGTTCCAACTCTAAAGTCTTTTCCTTGTTACTTGAACATTGTCTCAGAGTAGTTTATGAAGTCAATAATCTGAGCCGTGCACTCGGACTTTTGAGTTAAGCATCGAGTTTCCACATACTTGGCATATCCATCTACTATCGTAAGAAAGTAGGCACTCGAATCAATCGAGCCATAGCTAAAAGGACCACAAACATCCATATGCAACAATTCCAATGGTCTCTTAGGTTTAGAACCATGACCCAACTTTGGTTTTTGGACTGTTCCTTTAGCAGCAAGGCAACAGTCGCATCGAATAACAGCATTGTCACCCAAGATTTTCCCTTTAACAAGCTTAAACATTTTGTTAGCTTTCTGTAAAATATTAGCACTTGGGTGTCCGAGTCTTTGGTGCCAGAGACCACCCTTATCAATACTGTTAAAAGCAACACCATTAGCATCAGTAGATAATCTGTAAAGCCCATTCATCAGAGGATCCTTGGTACCAATAACCTTCATTTCCGGATACATTTTCACTTTGTTTCCTTCAAACAATAATTTCGCACCATTCAGAGTAGCCTTGGAAACTGAAATCAAGTTGGCTTTTGAGTCTGGAACATAATAAGCATCTTTGATTTCAATATTGGTATTATCACGTAATTTGAACTCCGCAGACCCAATACCTGCAACAGCAACACCACCGCCATCAATCCCGGAGATCTCTCCTCCAAACGGTCTGATCGTCTTGAACAAGCTCTTATTGTTTAAGATATGTTGCGAGGCACCTGAATCAAAATACACCCTGGAGTTGTTACCATGCATTCCCATAAATGCATACCACGATGGTGACGGATTCCTACCATCGCCAATTAATTTCTCTCTCTTAGGAGCCTTGCAATCTCTTCTGAAATGTCCAGGCTTCCCACAATTGAAGCACTTGTATTGCTTCTTGGTGGCGAAAACCGGTTCCGGACTCTCAATACTAGTAGACGCAATACTTTTATCTCCAATGATCTCTCTTGTTAAATCCTGAACAAGACCGAGGTCAACATTACCAATAGTTCTGCCATTTCTGGACTCGTAGGCTGTCATGACTTCTCTAGAGAGGCTATTACCGAAACCAGCCTTCTGGCCCAAACCCAAGAACAATGCACAAAGCACAGTGCTTCCGTCCAATTTACCAACAGTGTTCTTGAAATGATTAAAAGCATCAATAAAGTGTTCCACTTTTCCTTCTTTAGTTTTCAACCATTTGTTGTCCATTAAATCACAAATAATACCCACAGCATTGGTAACAGTCAAAGTACCATAGGCCTCCTTGAGAAACATAAACAAGTTTCTGCCGGTACCATCGAATTCCGAGGCCTTAGTCAAAGCAGCGCCAGTGATACTGTTAAAGACAACCGTAGAGATAATTTCATCCATAGTAGCAACCAATTGAGCAACTTCGTTTGAGTCTTCCAGACCGTCAGTTCCGGTCTCTCCATTGATCAAATAAGCATATAACCCAAGACCTTTCATCTTCATCTTGACACTGATCAATGTGAACCAATCATAGAAGTTTGATGAACCTTTCAACTTTTCATCAGCAGCAAACGAAGTAAGAGCATTTGAACTCATAACCTGTTGAAGTTTTGTAACCCTAGTTACAGTAGTCATTACCAATAACAAATACTATCAAACTATCCTTGTTATTATTCTTATTCTTCTTGACTAACTAACTATTTAAATAACAAAATATAAACTCAAACTATGGGGAGAGGCCCCATATTTATAATAAGACCAATATATATGATTTGTAATCATACATCCATCTAGAACATTCTAGATGATTAATCATATGCACAATGACTAATTATTAGGCTGAGTCATAATCACATGCAGATTATATATTGCTCAGCCATGGTAAATAAACCGTCTTATCCGAGACTCGAACCCAGGATCTATTCAACACATTGATACCCGTGTTAACCGTTGAGCCATCTGTACAAAACCCAATATATGACTTTGGATTGTCAACTCAACTCAAGCTTCCCACGTCTTCCTTTAATTCTGCTTGGGTAGTGACTAGGCCAGCCACTGTTTTATTTCTGCTTGGGTAGTGACTAGGCCAGCCACTGTTTTATTTAAATCAATAACATTATCTCTGTCTTCGTGACGCTCCTTTTGCATACCAGTAGCTAAGTTAGTTAGGAGGGGAATTTGAGGCCGGATAGAATTTCGACGTGAATCACTCGTTTGTTTTTTCTTAAAATCAAGAACATGGTTCACCATTATTTGTTTAGAGGGTTGGGTGGTTGGAGATTCGGGACCTTCGGTGGGATCAGACGATGAAGACCCCTTGTGTTTAGTGTGTTTATATTCTTCTGAATCTAGATATAAAAGGGCTTTCATTTGTCATGAAAGGAAGAATAACTCGATCTTATCCGAAAAACTTTCTACTAGAAGTAGACTAACAAATAGATAAACCGATAACCAACTTTGTAATGAATACTTCATCCAATCCTTCTGCCTCCAGCATCTAACGATGTTCAACACCAGGATAGTTCTGGTACAGCCAGTACATACCAACAGAATTTCTACAGTAACTGTCTATTTTTCATAAGGGTAAATAAGATAGCGCGGCAGTATAACAGATACTTACCCTCACTATATATTCAAAGGTTAAATTGTACCGGATAAAAAAACACACCCTGACCTCCTTTGTTGAGTTGGCAATCCAAAGTTATGTGGTTAGTCATTGTTCATGGAACCTTCTAGAGCTCATGGAACCTTCTAGAACTTATGGAACCTTCTAGAATTCCATGGAACATTCTAGAACCCATTGAGATTAATATAAATATGGGCCATGCCCCCCATAGTCTGAGTTTGTCCTTTATATAATTTAGTTAGTTAAGAAGAATAAGAATAATAACAAGGATAGTTTGATAGTATTTGTTATTGGTAATGACTACTGTAACTAGGGTTACAAAACTTCAACATCCTTTCCTCTTAGAAGGTGTTGAAGAGAAGTGCTCCGTAACGACTTCCCTGAATCCCATGACTTCCTTTCCATTCATCTCAATGATCTTTAAATCGTTAGATCCTTTTTTTGCTTTTTAGTTCTTAACCTTTTTTTGCTTTGTAGTTCTCAACCTTGTTAAGAGCTTCTTTGGAGAAGGCTTGCTCTTTTTTTTTTTTTTTTTCGTAGAGTTCTGCTAGTTTAGGATTAGGATAACCACATTCTACCAAATTAAAAAGAAGCTGTTTATGCTTTATTTCCAATGAAGGCCGATTCTTTGTCTTAGGTTTTTTTTTGAGCTAGTAACAGATTCTGGACTACTTCATGAGTATTTGGTGTATTTGACAGGGCTGGTCGAGCTATTGGCAGAATAAATGACTGTTCTGACTCATTAGAACTATTGTTCACGTATCTTAACAAGAAGAAATCACTGATTTCATCAGCTTCAGATGCATCTTGAGACATAATCTTAGTTTATTGAATATATTATTAAGTAGTTTATTTGAGTATTGTGCATGGGAAGAGCAAATTGTTATGTGAGATTTCGCGTCTTTTTTGTCTTTAACCGGGGTGTGAGAATTCTACAGGTCTACAAAGTACTTTAATATATATAAAGACGAAACAAACGCACTCACGTATAATGACAAACACTTTAGATAATAAAGTTAAATATAAGGACAGTAGTAAGGACAAACAGCACGACACCTAGCAACCTTAAACCAATAATGGCTGCAAATATAATCTTGATAGCAACGACTATAATATTTATTAGTGGAGATCTAATGATCTGGTTCGTAGTATATATGACCTACAGACCCCTTGATTGTAGGATCTCGAACTTGCGACAACAGAGCGCACTTTTATCAGAAGAAGTAATTATTGTACATAGGTGTCCGACGTTTTTCTTGTCGGAAAAACATTGCTCCGCCATAGTACACAAAATCACATAAAGTACCCTTAAGTTAAGTGGTAGACAAAATCAAACTATTAGAGCTTGCACTTTACTTAAAGCTACATTTCAACACGGGGGCATTTGAATATGATGACTAATGATTTGCACAAGCTTATTATGTAAATTCTTGCTAGAGTTCCCCGGAGCGGAAGTATGATCGTCCGTAGGTGCCGCATTGGAAGTGACGGATAAGTTATAGTTAGAGTTATCTCAGGACATTATGCAGTAATAATAATGAGTTGTTGCAAGTTAGATTGGGGGCTGAATGGTTTGTGTGTCGTTTATTCCAGCTTGGGATTGAATAATATCAGAGTTTGTGATAAGACAAGTTTGGTCAAAATCGGATCCTCTCAACCGCGGCTCCCCTCCCACCAGTGGTAGGATATTATGCTTCAATATATAATTATTTAAATCTCTGAAGATCAATCTTCTTCAGTATCAGGATTATTCTGATTGGCTTATTGGTAGTCTCCATGTAACATTTGATGACTACACACAAACCAGCTCATAGGTGCTTACAAAAAAATTGGAGCTTTTAAATTTAAACACTCATGGTGTGTTAAAGAGATGAGTCTAGGTAAAAATGCGCGAACCGGGAATCGAACCCGGCTCTGCTGCTTGGAAGGCAGCAATGCTAGCCACTACACCATTCGCGCTCAATGATGTGTTTGTTACAATCAGTGTGCAAGGGCACACTAGATTCTGGAATCAAGTGACCAGAAATTATTGGAAAAAAAAAAAATTTTTTAAAACCAACATGTCAAGTCCTGATAGTTATAAGAAACAAAGTATTAATTACTCAACTGATCCTACAAATGATCCCCCAAAGTCCTTTACTAGAGATTCATCCCCCTCCGTGGCTGATAATGTCGATATGTCTTCTCAAGGCGACCATCAAGGTCGTGACAACAAGAACGCTGAAATTCATGAAAACAGCGTCGAAAAACCACCGGAAAATGACGAAGATGAATCTTTTGACGATGAAAGTTCCAATTATGGAAGCGATTATTCTTCAAATGATTCAAGGGATGAGGAAAACGCGGTAGAAAACCCAAATCTGCCCGCCGCAACCCAAATTTATTCTTCGATTGCTAATCAAATCGATCCTGCATTATTAGGTAATCAATCACCTAAGCACGCAACGGCCCCTCAACATGGAGAAGTTGAGGATGCGAACTTGGAACAAAAAAACACCAAAAAAAATGAAAAATCCTCCATAAACTCCGAAAAAAACGTAGAAAACTCCACTGAAAACCAATCTGAAAAAAACAAAAAACCCAAAAAACCCAAAACGCCTTTATTAGTTCCACCTCCGCCCGTTCCTTCGCCTCCGTTGTCGCTTCTACTCTTGCCCCAGAAGAAATGGAAAATTCTTCTACGACCACGGTCAACCCCTTTAATGGGAGGAAAGAAATCGACAGGGAAAATGACCCTCTTTTCCGAAAATTCGCTAACGCGTTTTACTGGCCTTTCCTCATCAAGGACCTCAAGTTCTACTACAGGGAAGTGTTGGAGCACTTCATTGAATGCTACAACAATAATGATCATATTTATCAATCTACACTGTATAAAATCCGTCCAGATGATCCAGACAGAATGATGGAATATCATAATACTTTGTTCATTGTTGAGTACTTTAGCCAACAATCTAGAACAAAGATTGACATGGAAATGAAACGTCTTGCAGGTCTTACCACCAATGAAAAATTACAGCTCTTCAGACAAATTTACAAATTGAACCAAGGTAATTTGCATTTCAAAATCCCAAAACCATTGATGCAAGGAAGCTCCGCAGAAATCCAATTGGCTCTCATTAAATTCGCTTTGATGGACCTAGCTAATCAACAACAACAGCTCCTTGAATCTGGGAACATCGAGGAAACTGAACGTCATCAAAGAACAAAATTGGAGTATGATTTAAGACATTCCCAGGAAGTCATTTATATCAACTCTGATGAAAATGAAATTGTCATTCCTGGAAGTTTTTTCCCTGATTTCCCTCTGCCAGACGACAAATTCAAAAAAAGAAAAATATCATTCATCAATCATATCAATGAGTTTTTACAAATAAGCACTGAAACCACAACTTATAAACCCAAAATTGTGATTGACGAATATGTTGAACGTCATTTTATTGAAATCGAAGTCCAAACTAGTAACAGAGATGCTTTAAACGACATATTGGAGTCCCACTTCCAACAACATAAGATCCCATACGATGCCTTTAATTTTGTTGATTTGCAAGCCTGCATAACATCTGACCCCTTCCAAAGAAATAGATTCTATGGTATGATAAACTTGGAAAAAGATACAGAACTACCAATTATCTCATCCAAGATTTTGAAAATCAAACTCTTGACCCATTGTTTCCACTGTACTAGCTGTGGTTCCAGGAAGCATACCAAGTTCTCTTGTCCTGAGCGGAACTGTATCATCTGTAAAAAACCAGGCCACATTGGACCAGAATGCCCAATTAAACGTCATTCTAAGAAAACCAAGATCACCCCACAAAAAGAATCCCTGAATCAAAATGTTGCACATGAAGCAAATAGCTCCTTCAAAGTTGTTACTGGAAAGAAGAGAACCATTTTGAACAGAGACTCAAAACTACAACCAAACAGAAAGGACCGTTCCCAAAGACAAGTTCCAGATAAGCAGGTTGGGCAAAACCCATTCAATGTCTTAGCTGGAGATACTTCGGAATTGGATATTACGGAACCCGGCGTGGAAGCTGAAGGGAACAACACCAACCAGCCATCTCAAAAGACTGAGAAACCCCAAAAATCATCCACAAATACATCCCCATCATTTACCAGTTCCAATCCTACCCAACCAAGACATTCATCCCCAAAACCATTATCCCCAGTCTCATCCCCTTCAACCACAAAATCCAACACCATCTATTCTCAACATGACACCTCCCCAATTCTCGTGCCAAAAACTCCAGCCAAGGAACCCTCCTCCACTCCTAACAAGAGTTCTCATAACCTGAGTTCTAAGACCCGGAGGACATCTCAAAATACAACTGTTCACCAGAGCAACCAAGACCTGGAACGGCTGACTAAGGGAAACCTGAAAGCCGACAAACATGATGGAGAACCGGTAAATTTACTGGCTTTCCTCGATGAACACTATTCAAGCAATGACGATGATGACTCAGATTATGAACCAGATGATCACCAGAGTGATCACATTGAAATTGACTCCCTGGATAATCCGAATGATGATGATGATAATGACGATGATGAGCTGATATCAGATATCAGCATAAATGAATCCAATTAATCATGACTACCCATAAGAAATCCTTCAATCTAATATCTCAAAATATTCAGAGATATCATTTCACCTCCCAACATCACCTCTCCAAATACAACAAACAGCACATCCTTTTCTTTCAAGAACTTCCGAAAGACTGTGAGGCTTTGATCCGAAACTTCCATCAACATTCCTTTCATGTAAATAATTCCCCTTACCCCCGAGCGGCTATACTATTGAGAAATATCCCCTCCATGGGCACGGTAATACTAAAAAATTTCATTTCCGATAAACTTGAGTCACATCTAACCGGATACCTTACTGATCTAGTAATATCTTGGAATGATGGCAAAACTCTATTATTATTGATAAACCTATACAACCCAACTGGACAACAAAAAGCCCAATTGACTATTCATTCCCAGTTGCACCAGCTACTCGGTGAGTTGTTGGGCCATTTGGCTATCAAATACCCAAACTCACACATCGAAATAGTGGTTGGAGGAGATTTCAACAATATCTTAGAAATTCCAAAATCAAAAAAAAATAAAAAAATTCTGAAACATCTAAAAAAACTAAACGATTTCATTGAATGCTTCAATCTCAAAGACGCTTTCTACCTCCTGCTGTCCAAAGGTCTCCCTTCCACTAACCGAGCCTCAAACGGTAAAAATCGTCGCTTAGATCGATTTTATATTTCTGAGGGTTTGTTGGAGAATACTGCTCTTAGCCAGACAAATACCCTTGGTACTATTTCCACACATGACGAAATTAGCATCAAATTTGCCCTCTCCTTTAATTTAGTGCAACTAGGACCAAAGCGTTTCAAATTGCACAACCAACTAATACCATTTATTGCTAACTCCAAGAAGTTATCACAATTGCCATCCATATCCCATTTGATTGCAGAGATCCGACTGTTAGCACCACTAACAAAAACGGCATTGAACTCTCTCCAACGCAGTGACCCATCTATTTTACCTGACCCTTATGAAAGATTGAACTCTGTTTTTAAACAGAACCCAAACACAAATCCAATTGATGCTTTTGTCATTGCTGGAGATAGGAAACTCACCGATATTCAAGATTTATTGGCCCATGCCACGTCCTATTACAAGGACATTTTTTCGGCTAAAGACTACCATGTGTTGAGTTGGCAATCCAAAGTTATGTGGTTAGTCATTGTTCATGGAACCTTCTAGAACTCATGGAACCTTCTAGAACTTATGGAACCTTCTAGAACTCATGGAACCTT